TCAAAATCGTCGCCAGTGGGATTTGAACCCTAGACCTGCCATTTGGGGGTGACAACTTGCCAACTGCACTATGTCACCATTTTATACAGATTATATATATAAAATTTTGAATATGGAGTCAAATGACTAACACACCTAAATTTTATAAGTAAAATTTGGGCAAAATTTGTTTTCTAGAAATATTTAATGGTTAAAAAGTTGTCAGTTTAAATTTTTTGTATAAGTTCACAAATTTTCTAGCATTTAAAGATTCTTCTCATAAAATTTTAAAGTGATTGAGAATAAAATAAAGAATAATCTGATTCATAAAGTTGGCCAATTTTTTATAATTTTTTACTGTTTGTTTACAAGTAATATATATCATAAGTAATAAGGAAGCATCAATTAAATTGATGCCTCCTTATTACCTATTTTGAATAAATGATATATATCACTTATAAACAAATAGTAAAAATCATAAAAAAATTGGCCAACTTTGTGAACCAAATTATTCTTCATTTTATTCTCAATTACCTTGAAATTTTATGAGAAGAACCTTCAAATGCTAGAGAATTTGCGAACTTATACAAAAAATTTAAACCGCAACTTTTTAACTATTAAATATTTCTAGAAAGCAAAATTTGTCCAAATTTTACTTATAAAATTTAGGTGTATCAATCATTTGACTTATATATTAAAATTGTATATGTGAAAAATTGTATGACTAATAAGTTACTAGGGTGTCACATGAACTAATTAATTATATTGCAGATTTTACATTATACAAATACAAATCACTTTTTAATAATACAATAAAAGACTTACAATTTAGATTTTATTGTTATTAATTCATATGAAAGATATTTTAAATATTTTTAAATGTATCAACTTATTATATAGGTAAGCAATCACCTTGAAATTTTCACTAGTTATTTATATAAAGTCAAAGAATAAAGTCATATTTTTATTTTTCTATTAATATGTGGGTTTTGAATATTAACTTTATAGAATACTTGAAAATTCATTAATTAGAACTTTAGCGAAAATCAAATATAGCTACTTTGAAACAGTTCTGATGAACAGTTTTCAATTAAAAAAAATAAGTGCAATATTTATGTGATACCTTTAGAATTTTGTGCTTTTCTTTATAATTAAATAAAATTACATTCGATCATTTATTTTGATAAAAATTTGATTATCTCTTAAACTATCTGGGTTTAGCAAGCAAATTTGCTCGCTAAAATAATTAGAAAAAACCTAATCCTAAAATAAATTTTTTTTTATTGAAAGACTAGCTAAAATTGACTAGAGTGACTCACAGGAACACCAGTTATGTGATACCACAACTTCTAAGTCATAGTATATGTCATGTGCCACAAGCGAAGAACCAAAACCTAAATTACCCAGAAATATATTGTGCTTATATCATAGAGTATTTTATTAGAACAAATCTTCTAAATCGCTTTAAAAATTTAGTTACAAATATTACAGACTAGTATGAAATAACATCGTATTAAATATGGGAACTTACCTATAACAAAATTTTATTTTATCGAGATAAGTAAATCATTTAAATTAGCTAACATGCAGAAATCAAATTTAAATTGAAAAAACCCTTAAAATACTTTTAAAATATGCATTTAAGAAATTGTATTTTACTTGTATTTGGATTACAATCCATCTCGACAAATTTTTGATAATTAACAAATACCTTATGCTAATCCTTCTCAATTTCTATTCCGTAGCAATAACAATCTGCAAGGTTATTCATTACAGAAATATTTTTAATTTTTTTTTTCAGTTTTGTTTCTTTTTTTTTCTTATTTTTTTTTTTTTTTTTTTTTTTTTTTTTCGCCCTTTTTTTTTTTTGGTATAAAATTCGAAAAAACAATTTCAAACATTGTTATAGCAAAGTGGTATGTCATATTTACACATCAAAGCTAACTTTGATGGGAGTCTTACAGTCTAAATCTAAATTTTTTTGCTTGCCCACTATGCACACCACTGACACACTTCTCGTTTTTCTCTCTACTCAACTAAATGGTCACCAGGTGAAAACCATCAGTTTGAAAGTTCGAAGTGCTTCATTACTTTTGGCCATTTGGGGTTTTTTTTTGTTTCACTATTGATTTCTTCTCTCTTTTTTTTTTAACCTACTTCTAAGCTGAATTTCTTCAGCATCAATCGCAACATTTATGAGGTCCCACACAAGCTCAAGGTGAAAGTTCTTTTGCTCCTAGGTTGATCCTAAGATTCAGGTAATACGATATGCATTGATGATGGCGGTATCTAGCAACCAGAAAAAAAGTGGCATCTAGTTTCTTCGTACTATTTTCTGCGTACTGTAATATAACTGAAGTTGGTTCGCAATATCTACACTATTCATATGATGGTTGTAGTCATTAATTATCTTGAGGATTTTTAGCTTCTTTCTTGGTTCTGAACCAAATATCGCATGTACTTTTGTGGCATTGGTACTTGTTTCTCTTGGCTGCCATCTTTCACGTTCGATTTCTTATTGTTCACCAATAAGACTGTGAATTGTAGACAACATTGTGACAGGACCATTGTTCTGCCAAAACACAGCTAACACCCTATTTACCACAACGCCAGAACGTATATCCTAATCAAGTCAAAGATTTTTATCCATCTTTAGTTCTTTAGGAAATCCAGATGCTGTTTTGTGAACAGTACCACAAGCACCAATACTGATTTGCCGAAGGTTCTGAAAAAGAGGAACATTAGAAAAGTAGTTATCCATATAAATGTTAAATGAAATCAATAGTACAGAAGCTGTGTAATAAGATGATGGACCAAGTTACTAGTTTGGTTAAGTCCACTCATTTTTTCCATATCACTTGGGAAGACACGTGACGTCAGCAAGAAAGTAAACATATACCCGGAGTCGCAAAGTGACAATATCTTAAAACCCTCTGGGATTGGTTTGTTTTTAATACGAACGATGTAGATACTTTTTCCAAAAAACCTGACTATCATTTCATCAACCGAAACATTTGAGGCTGGTGTGTAAAGTTGTTTGAAGACGTCTCAGATATGGGAAAGCAACGGCTCTAATTTTTTAAAGTAGTGTTTAACAACTACTGCAGGCAGAGAGATATGAAGATATCTTTTAATTTGTTCAAACTGCTTTAACATCATTTGTTTAAAAATATTATGGATAGGATACTTCGGATCCTCGTTCCAATATTGATCAAGTGAAGGCAGCCTAAAAACCCTCTGGTAAATGACCAGAGCAACCCAGGTAATAAGCTCCTTACGGTCTATGTCCTTCTACTGTCTTCTAGCAAGACCAGCACCTCTAAGTAATACGTACGAATTCGTATTGAGGACAATTTTGTCTAGTAATATGTTCATAAAAAAAGATTGATCGGTTTTGAAAAACTGACTTCATAATTTGGTGGCAAATTAACAAATACCTGATGTAATTTTTTTGAATGAACCAATGGTTCAAAATTTGAAGGTGGTGGTGGTGGCAATTTATGTACATTTTTTGATTTGCGGCCCTTCTTGCTACTGCTTTCAGTATTCTCCTCCTCCTTCTTCTCCTTATCGTCTGGTTCCAAGTTGTTCAAAGTACACTGGTGGGATGTCAGAACTGGCATGAATTCTTCTTCCTCGTTGTTAGAAAATACCTCAGTACTTTCAGGGGGGGCAAACTCGAAGATGAACTTGCTTTTATCATGATTGTAAAAAATAATCGTTTGATTTTTAAAATTGTTTTTTTTTTGCTTTTTTATTTATAGATAATCATTGTACTACTAATAACGTTATGTGTTACTAACACGTGATATGAGATCACAATCTGATCTGCAAAATAGCATACTTTGATTCCGACTTAGAAAAGGGGGTAGGATTGCTTAGCCAAGTCACGTGCAATCATACAAAATCAAGAAAAAAAGGATTTTAGCAGGCAAATTTGCCTGCTAGACGGTTTAAAGGATATTAATATTGTTAATTTTATCATTAGTAATTGAATATTCAAAAAAGTTGAAAACATATTTCGATAAATTCAATATAAAAAGTTTTGATCATTTGAAATTTGGTCATTTACGAAGAAGAATATGCATTAAAAAGTTTATATAATAATTTAACTATTGATAATAGAAAATCAGAAATGAGGTAATGTGCTGCTAGACATTCATCATTGGACATCTGACTAACATCTTAAATACTCATGTTATAATAATACATTCACTTGAAGATTAAGCATCTTCATAATATTAGTCATCCAAATATTATCAAGCTATATGGTTATTCTAGAGATATAATTAAAATATGTATAATTTTAAAAATTAGGTTTATATTAAATTTTAATCTTATATAGTAGCATTATTCATTATTCATTAAACTTTTTAGACCCATTATCAGGTCATTTTATGCTAATATTACAGTATGCTAATGGTAGTGATCTACAAGGATATTTACGAAGAAAACAAACCAGAGGCCAGTATAAAATTTCATGATCTGAACTCATCAAAATTGCTATGGAAATTACTTTGGGATTAGAACATTTGCACAATAATAGTATCTTTCATCGGGATCTAGTGAGTTTTGATTATTTAATTGTTCTAATTTCTGCACTGAATTTTAAGTCTATAATTGTTTATTATAAATCACAATAGCATTCTAAGAATATATTGATTGATGATGAAAAGGCCTTAATCACGGACTTTGAAATATCAAGCCGATTTAATAATACCACTACTTCGATTTCAGATACAGATAATAATATGGTTGGCATATGGGCGTATATAGAACCGCAATGCTTTATTCAACATGGAATAAAAATTGAACACAAAAAGAAATCTGATATTTACAGTTTGGGTGTATTACTCTGGGAACTTACAAGCAGAATTCCTCCATTCAATAATTACAATTTTGTATATTTAAGCCAAGCAATTTCAAACTATGAAAGAGAAAAATTCATTAAAGGCATACTTAAGGATTATTTAAACCTTTATGAAAAATGCTAGTCTTCTGATCTGGACATGCGCCCAGCAATGAACAAAATTTTAGCTAAGTTTAAGAGTATATCAGAAATATATGTTGAATTTATTACCAATAACATAGATATACTGAACTTTCTGATGAAATACTTTCTGATGAAGATTATGATGCAAACGAAGGCTCAAATACGTTTAATTCTTTTGAAGGTAATCATCAAAAAAGGGATTGTTAATATAGCATAACTAATAATTAAGTCTTTAAGCTAATCTGTCGCAATTTCTTCTATGTAAATGTAAACTAATAATTAAATATGTTGTAAATATTTAGCGACAAAAAAAAGGAAGTGTGAAATTTCATCAACAAATGATAAAAATAATAACGACCAAGCAACATTATCAACTTTGATTAGTTCATCACCTAAAAATAATAGAGTCAGGATCAAAGCATCAGATGAACAATCATGATTTCAACATAATGAAATTAATATACAGCAACTTTATGAAATTAACATGCAGAATGCACAAAATGCAACTTCTCATGTAACTGTTAGCTTATTGCATGATATTGACGCACAATTCATAAATTATTTTGTGATATCACCTACTATTAGAAGAAATGTAAACGCACCAAATTTAGGTACATACATACACTTAATATTTATAGTGACCACTAACCAACAACACATTTGGTGTATATAAGCCGAACAATCACATGCTTCATCATTATCAAATATCATCTCTGCTTCAAACGCAAATGCTCTACATGTTGGAAATACTTTACAATATGATTCTAATAGTATGCGCGTTCACCATAGTACGTTTGTACCAGTCTGGTATGTTCCTTCAAAAGTTCTTCTAGTAGATGATAACTTAGTATACCAAAAATTTGGTTCAACATTGCAGTAGATGAAATTGGTATTGTTAATCAAATAAAAATTAGTAAATATGATCTTGTTTTCATGGTAAGTTATAAAGTTCTGCTCTTCGTTACTGCGTTGCAAACCCGATTTGATTGACTTTCTAATATTACTACGTGCAATTTATAGGAAATTGTTTTACCAAAGTTGGATGGTAATATTACAGTACCGTGGCCTTCTTAACAGCAGTACTATAACAATGACACGGCTACAGGGATCCTTTACAGGTTTATAG